TATGCTAATTTCAAAATATTACATTATTGTTTAATACAGAACACAAGATTTGACCAGTAAAAATACATCATTATAACAAAAAATATAGTAACAATGTTGTCATTCTTAGTAACGCATTTGTTCTTCATACAAAATACAATTGTCCTTGAGCACTTGTTTCAAGCTTCTCTGGATTTTTTCCACAATATTTCCTAGGTGGCGATTCATAATGAATTCCGCTTTAAAAATTTAAGCCCTAAACCTTATTTATAATGCCAATAAATATTATTTACATCAAAAAATTATTGGAGTAAAAAATTATTTTGACTGTGTCCCTAACAAATACTAAAATCGTAACTACCTTGCGTTGCTATATGAAAATAAACCTTTAAGTGAGTGTATTACCCTTTTTTGCACCTTATTCGGCTTTACATATTGTAACTCGTATAATGAACGATGGCAACCGCGGGGGAAGAGGATGCTCGTCAGATCAGTCGCGTCGGAGTCGTCGGGAGAGGTGCGTGTATTTATTGCGTGACCGCTGAGTTACCACTGTCGAAAGGTACGTATTGACAATATTTACATAATATTTGTTTTAAATGTAGTTTGTCATGTATTGGATCTATCAGTGTTAGAATATTTGCACTTTGTTATTTTCTTTAGTGATTATATACAACATAGTCAAATATTTACAACTGCGATACTGCTACACTGCGTTACTTGAAAATGTAACGCAGTTGTGAATATTTGACTATGTTGTAAATAATCACTAAATGAAAAACTAAAGTGCAGATATTCTAACACTGACAGTACAAAGACATGACTAACTACATATAAAAATAAATAATATATTTGTCAATGTTGGTGATACGTTATTTAAGCCTTAATTTTCATATATTGTTTCTTTTGTTATCTTAGAGACAAGATTCTGCGCTAAATGGCGTTAACAAACGCAAAAAACAACGTCGCTATAGGCTTAAATTAAAACTAGACCCGGTGAGAAATGCTGAAGCTAAGAAAAAACACTAAGAACGGTACACTAAAGAAGGCTTATCTAACTCTAAAATAAAAATTGCTATTGTACGCGAGACGTTGGGAATTGATCTGATGAAAGTGATGAAACGACAACAAAATACCTCAAACAAAAATCTGGTTAACAGCATTAAAAGCTTTTTTGTTCGTGACGATGTTTCTAGAGCTACGGCTGGAAAACGGGAAACTGTCACTTGTAATAAAATTAAAATACAGAAGCGATATTTACTAGACACAATGAAAAACCTATTTCATTATTTTAAAAAAGAAAATCCAGAATTGAGATGTTCTTATTCGTATTTCATTAAAAACAGGCCATTTTATATAAAGCCACCTTCAGTTTCTGGAAGAGAGATTTGCCTATGCAAGATACATATAATGCGCAGTATATTTTAGATGCTCTCTACAAAACCAGGGTTATCGCTCACCAAAACACTGAAGGAGTTAAGCAAGGTCCGTTTGTATTTAGTGACGGACAGTGACATACAAAACATTGAAAAAGCTCTACCTAAAAACCTTGTACCACTTCAAGGTACGATGCTAGTACATCAAGTTTTTACTGACACTCCCGGTGAACTTCAATATAGAGAGCCCAAAAACTTATCACCCTGTTCCTGCTTCCGTTATTGACACACTTACAGAAGGTATTCTCTTGGATGGATTGGATGAGGAAATAGTTCTCGATGATATTTTATATATAATTACCGTACCAAGAAGAACATTTTACAATACGGTTTATTCCACACCTTCCAGCTCTGATGACGAGTTCTTAGCCAGCTATAGCCAACCATCAGTTTCTAATATAAAAGAAAGGCAATTAATTGAAAAGGAAAATATTCATCCTACAAAGATATCAGACGGTGTCCATGTCTTAGTAAAAGTGTCTTCTGTAAAAGACAAACATTACACTTATCTAGGCGTTGCTAAAAGTGAAGTTGATGAAGAAGGAGACGTCAAAATTATGTTATTAAGACAGTAGATAAAACTGGTAAAAGGTTCAAAGCAGTAGATACTGATATTTCTTACGAACCTTACGATAACATCTTAGAAATTGTTCCTAATCCTAAAATTGTCGTAAAAAGTAAAAAGGATATACTTTGATTATGATAAGCCATTAAACATCTTTGAAAAGTAGGACTGATTTGAAAGTGTTCCATTAGTTATTAAGGTTGATTTTGTGATTTTTATTTTTTGAGTTTTTAAATTTATTTCATTGAAGATACTTTATTTTATATCGAGTCATAGGAAGTTATATTTTGTTATGTTTTTATCGTTATACTAGATCTCTATAGAAAGTACAAATATTGTATGTACAAGAATTGTATGTAAGAAAATACTACCGTGTTACTGGGCTTACTACTGCGTTACTTTTATGTCCCTCAGATTTTTTATAGTATTTTAAATATATCTATGATTCTTATTATTTAACGTGCTTTAATTTCATACGTACGTATTACTCATCAAAATTGAAAGATTATGTTGTAAGTTGGTATTAATTTTAAGTTTTTATTTGTGATAAATAGAAAAGTTTATGTTATAAAATTAAATTTTGGTAACGCAGCCATCCAAAGTAATAAGGATGCTCTATGAAACTGATAACTTCTGTGATTTAGTTTTATAAGAAGTTAATTATAAGCGTTACAGTTTAAAACTGACACGTTGTGATTCTCTTTGTACAAGATTAATAAAAATTAAAAATAAATTCAAAATGTAACGCAGTTGTTTAATTTTCCGACACCTTCATATATTGTTGACCATAACTATAACTAACTCATTTAAACTAACGCTGCAGAGGTAGGTATAACGTATCTATATATGCATATAAAAATAAGAATATTAATATTTTTATAAAAAAAATAAATTTAAAATCGTATGTTTAGATTAGGCATTAAAAAGTATTTTAGCCCATAACTTTCCACCGGTAAGACAGATTTTATTTCTATTTTTATCTCGCGTAGTTCAAGTTATAGTGGATATTTTAAAGGTTACTAAGATAAGATAAAAAAAGCAGCACGCATTGATGTCTAGTTGAAACCCATCCATTTTTCTCATTACTAAATTAGTATATCCGTTTCATTCTGATAAAGGCACGTCTAACACTGGTGTCAGTGCATGCTTTTTCTAGGTATGATCGATATCGATATTTCCATACGTAAACATTGATTAGTATTGTTACTATAAATCATACTCACGTTATATTTTCTCTTTTTAACCTGCTGACATCATAGATAAATAATAGAAGAAATGAAAAAAAACTAAAGGTATTCCCCTATTGTAATCGTAAGTTAATAACGTAAGTATACCTACAGGACTTACGTTAACTTCTTTAAGATAAACATAAAAATGTATAAATAAATAACTTACATCAATTTTTAAAATAAACATTTTCATAAATATGGTCTATTTTAATGATACGAAGCCGCAGGAAAAAATGTGCAATGATTGTTTTATCATGTGTATTATATTAAATACATAATTAACAAAATAAAACTTTTGCTTAGATTTCCAAAGTGTCCTGAAAAGAAATCAAAATGGATTATTGCCACATTCCGCGGCTATGACTGGATACCAAGACATACTAGCGTTATCTGTTCAAGACATTTTACAGGCGATAGTTTTCTTTATTTGAAGGATAGAAGACGAATCATGGAGTCTGCTGTGCCTACTCTTTATTTGCCAGCTGTGGTATGCTTACTTTATTATGGTATATGACTTATTATATTATAAAGGATAAATTTTAAAACACCAATAATCTAGCAGAACTATTTTTTTGTTTATACCGTTTCTATACTCAAAGCTCTAAAGGAGCTTCACTATTAGTCATCTAAGTATAACTTGGGCATTATCCTATTTTAGTGATAGTTTTGTGGGGTGTTATGACCGAGCCATATTTGTTCAAAATATATAAATTATACGTCAAAGCGTAGGTACAAGTATATTCAAGTATATTGAAATATTTTTTTTAGCAAAATCCTTTCTATTCCTTACATGAATTTTTGACAATGCGTATAAGCGAATCTACTTTTATGACATGATGAAATAAGATACTGTAAAATTTATTTTTTTGACATTTAGATTGAAGATATGTATAAATAAATACTATAAGTTATGAACTGACATACCTTGTATAACAATATTGTTATAAATAGCTAATAAATAAATTGAAATTGATATTCTCGAGAAGGTAGTTCAGGCCCTTAACAACACCATGTTTAATAACCAAGAATAGTCCTTTCAGCAAGACTCGGCAAGGTCATAAAGCTTGATCTACCCAATCTTAGTTAGAAACTTAATCCTTCTTGATACTTTTCATACTATTTTATTACTTCTTCGTTATTTAAAAGCCCAAAGCTTACAACTTGCATTTTTTGCCAAAGTTCACCCCTTTACGAAGATTTAACTTAATATTTTTATATGAGCACAGTGATGCAAGACTTTCATTTTTGCCTTTGTTTTGTATCCAAGTGCATTTTATCGTTAGTTATTTTTGGCGTACGTAACCAAAGTTAGTGATTTTTGGCGTACGCGCTCACTGAGGCCTTGCCGTTTGATGCCTTGTCGAGCAATTAGTCTATAGTGCTATAAATTATAATAAAATAAAAAAAACATTTAGTAAAATATCTTTTTAATCACATCTAAAAGTAACACATTTATCGATCAATTATATCGACATACCTTTATTATGATATGATTTTCATCACGACGGAATACGTATCTTTGTACAAGCCAATACCGTCGCCGCAGTTAGGTACCTCCTCCCCTAATGATAATATTACTCTTTGTTTATCTCGCCTGTCACCTACGGTGCCGCTAGGATAGGCATGTTTATTAAGATGGTATTGTAAATGCAAATAGGCCATGAATTAAAAAAGAAGAAGAAGAAGATGGTATTATGAAATTTTAACTCTATGGAAATTACATATCTATTAAAGTAAAAATAAAAATATTCATGGCTCATGACACCTACTGCGTTGTCAACTGCAAGAACAATGGCAAAAACAGTGATCGCAAATTCTATAGATTTCCACAAGCGTGTTGGAAACGGAACAACGAATGAAGTGGATAATCGCTGTCAAGAGAAAAAAGTAAGCTAAAGGTATATAAAGGTAGATTAAGAAATGTGAATGTATGTTTTTATGTTTTTCAATGTTGCAATTAATTAATGTAAAAAATGTTTTAGCACCGAAAAACAATAGATAGGTACCTATACTCCATTCATTATAGCATTAGACACAAGTTAAATAAGGTTCTTTTTATGGTATACTTTGTGACAAAATATCAACATTCATGTTACTCTTAAGACTAACGGCCAATTTGCTACATATCCACTTAAATACCCACTGCTATACTTACCCGTTGTCTTTTAAGTAAAATTATGAGTGTTTGACTAACATTAAAGATTTAATAACTATTACAATAAAAAGTGTTCATCTTAAAGAACCTAAAGAAGCAACGTTCTACAAGCAACCGAACATTGCAAACTCATGTTATAAAAGTTTCTGTTAAAATGTATAAATTGTTTCATATTTTATTTTCTCTATTATTTCATTACATTTGTTTTACAGTTAGAAGACGATATAGATAATTATATTCAAAATGAAATTATGACTTGACAAGAAAAACATAAAACCATATTAAGATTGAAGAAAGGCATCCTTCGTCACCAATTTCATTGTCAAAAGATTTCTACACCACAGCCAAAGAGGCAAGCTTACAAAAATACATATAGAAATAATTAAAGAAGCTTTATCTCCACCACCACCTTGCACTACTCCCAAGCTGATGAATAGGACAGTCCTAGTTACGGCCCAAGTATATTTCCTGCTACATACACCTCTACAATGTTTAATGCGAATTTAGTTTTGTCAAGATACAAACGACGCATGGAATGCAGTAAGAATAAAGAAAAAATATAGCTAATATCAATAGTGAATCAAAGACATTTGGAAAAAAAAATACTTATAATATGTAGTTGAAATATAAATCAAGTTATTATAATTTATTTTGGCTTAACTAAAAATATACAAAAAGCTTTATTAACAACATTATGAATGATCATCTGTAATATATAAGAAACATATTTTTGGATAATATTTATTTCATTTACATACTCGTTTACTTTTCTTGCAATTAGATATTTTAAAGTTCAACCTAATTGTAAACTCTAGTTAGCAATTCCGTCGCGTACCCAGTGAATAAAGAAATGTGACTTTGGTTTGAAAAGAAGACAATCTAAAAATTATTTAAATATTCATAGAACCAAGTCCCTGCTTGCGCTCCGTTTTCACTAACCTAGAACAAGGCATAACTTAACTAGGAAACGCCCAATCTTACGAATAGCCTAAGAAGTTTAGTTAAATTATAATTTTTTCTTTAAACCCTTGACACATTTGTGATCTGTCGTATTCCGCAAAACCTTAGCGCAAGGTACCGCATAACGCATATCATAACTAGACATTACTTAATATCCTCATGTGGCCCTTATTCATTTGTGAAATGCATTTTCATCTTAGGCGATTCCTTAATATTAAGGCGACAGATTGGACGACCCCTAAGTTCAGTCAAAACAGGCCACCAATCTTTATAATAAGAAGTGTGCTGTACCAATCTATCAAACTACCTTCAATACATACCCTGACAAATTTATTAGCGTCTTTAAATGTCCAAAACAGTGTAAACAATTTATAACTAATTGTTATGTTGATTTTTTATGTACAATGAAGTGTTCATTCAAACTTTAGCTAAGACCAAGTTCATGTGAGTAGGGTAATAATCTAATGTTTTTTACGTTTTACAGTTACCAAATGATATCGAAAATGACATACAGCACAAACTAATGGGTTCTATTGGGAAAATAAAAATGGTACCTGGATGTCCGCCTTCAAGATTGGATTGTCAGGTAGGTTAACAAATGTGACTGCCATATTCTAATATTAAATCTATACCTCTAATACTAAAACGTCAACAGGGAAAGCTGAAAGATGCTGGAAACACTTTACTCAAGCAAGATGGTAAAGAAAAGCCTAATTCTAGTAATGATACTGTAGAACCAAAGTTAGATGAAACTATAAAATGTCAAAGTCTCGTAACAATTAAAGAGGCGGGAAGTTTGTTAAGAACCCCTAAGGATAGTAATAATGTCGGGCGGTTCATTACTATTGCACCCATCGATAACCAAACAAACAAGAATAATTTTGTGAGCAATCCAGTTAAAACAGGTAATCTCAATTATGTTTAAAAATCATCAATGTTATGTGTATAATATCTATCTAGGAAATATTACAAAACTGAAGAGGCGGGAGAGTCCTCTTTCGTACTTGTTTTATGCTCTGAGTGGTAAGTGTAAGTTTTACGCTAACGCGTTCACTAGTGAGCGCGTTAAGAATTTGTATGGAGATTTGTAGTTCTTGGTAGTTACCGCTAGGGGCGTTGTACCGGATTCCATACTAAAATCTTAACGCGCTCACGATAGACAGTGAACGTAAACGTCAAAAAAACTTACACTAAGCGCTCTGGGCACTTTTGAACTTATTCCTTTATATGAAAAAAAACGGTCATTAACACAGATACTATATTTTAAACATAAATTTATGATAAATAATAAATCTATAGTTTTTCAACCAATGAAATACTTGAAAATCAAACATAATATCAAAGTATTTATAATACCTATTGAAAATAGTGCATTCTACATAGGTAGACCATTTTACATATAATTATTTATTATAATTTAAGAATTCTTTTAAATATATTAGCTATATTTTCATTATCAAATTCATAACTTATCAAAATAGCGTGAGAAATATGTTAAATTTAGTTTTTCTCTGTATTTCTTCCCAGTCTACAAATAAAATATGTTTTCTTGTTCCATTTTTCAGTACGCGACAACAATCATATAGACAGTATTCCATGTCATTATTGCAAGAATCCAATTCCAGGGTGAGTTTATTTAAATAAATAAATAAATATCAATAGCGTCTTGGACTTAGAGTATGTATTCAAATAAAATGATACTTTTAAGATAATAGGTAATGCAACTGATTCCAGTTGCCTACATAAAAAACAAATATTAGTAAAAATTAACAGGTAAAATCACGTGATCTGTAACACAAACCGCAACATGTGACTTTCCAGTTACCAGAATAATCTCTAACAATGCACTGATCATTGATCATAGCGTTTTTCAAATTCAAGTATGAAAGATATTTTAGTTTTGATTTTTTTTCAAATTTCAATTCTGAATAGACTACAATACTTTTGAAACAGCATTCAAAGATCTTATTTAATAATAGTACTGTACTCTTAGTATATAACACATTTATTAACTTTGAGTGATATCAAACATTTACTATACGTAGTATCGTGGTGGCTTATACAGATTATTCATTTCAATTGTCAAAATGACGTTAAGTGTTCAAAATCGAAGATAAAATTTTTACTTCCTGTATTTATTACGATTAAAATTGTCATAAAAGTACAACTAAATAATCTTTATTCAAATAGACTTCTTAAAAGCCTTAAATTGTCCAACATTTTTTAGTCGATAAATAAAATTAAACAACTAATATGAGAACACTAGCGCCATCTTTTGACAGTTAATATGAATGGAGTTGTGACATTTCTTAAGATAATATTTTTATGATCAATCAGGTTTGTGTACTCCTGCCTCGAGTGCGAATATCACATGTGCCACTTATGCAACATTGATAGTGTACATGCACATCACTATGTTTTGAGAGGCCCCTTTGGCAGGAATAGTGTGAGTATTCTTATACTGATAACAATGTATGTTAGTAATGGTTATTAATTAATTTATTTATAATAGTACAATAACAGATATCAGACATTTTTTGGAGAAAAATATATCTGATAGTGGTTTAATGTGTTCATATGAAAGTTTTTAAGTAATATTACCAAACAGTCGAGTCGATGCATAGAAAAATAAAAAAAACTAAGCATTTCTGACAAAATTTAATGCCATCTAGCAAATATATGAAATGGCATTAAATTTTGCTAAAACACGTACTTCGTGAAACACTTTGACGTTCGTAGTCAACAGATCTTACATCAGATATACACTGGCCCTGCATTTAATTTCCTGTTCAAGAAATATTCTGTAGGATTACGTCGAAACAAACCCAAATTAAAAACTCTTTAGTTGCGATCTGTTTTTAAGTCGAAATAAATAGGAGCGTGATTTTGATTTGATGAGACCTTTTTAGGGATCTTTTCTGCATGCCTAGGCATCTAACGCATAATACTAAGACAAAACAAGGGAAATCTAGACAGATGGCAACTGAAACTAATCCTTATAATAATTGAAATAAAATGTAAGCTCCATTGATGATTTGCTGATTCCGTGCCCAACTTATAACACCTTTAGAAAATAGTAGTATAGAATTCGCTCATTAAAAATTTTACCATGATACCAGGAATCAAATTGGGAGAGTGAGGTCATATCATTATCTATTATGCGGGCCCTGTACGGAATGACGGATGTTAACGACTATAGATGCAACAGTGATCAACGGTTTAATGTGCCTTTCAAAGCACAGAGGAGCCCAAAAAAATAATTTTGGTCACCCATCTTATAACTGGCCGTTGCGAAAGTACCTTAACCTGCGCATCGCAAACTAAACACTAGCCATTCAGACTATCTTTCAAAATTTTTACAACTAGCAGTAAACATTTTGGTCTGTATATATTATATTATTAGTAAAAATGATTAATAAATCTACTTTGTCCCTGGCACCCACGAAAGAATAAGACAGCCAGGGGCAAAGTGGACTTTTTAACCATTTTTCATTAAGAATATAATATATTAAGTTGTGCTATACTCATTCGAATGTAAAATTATATTTTTGGGAGTCTAACATTGAGATTCTGATTAATATACATGATTAAATGTGATCGAATACTCATACTTCCTTTTTATAAATATTTACAGGTAGAAGTGGCAAAAGTCAAAAAGAAGGTTATGCAAATTCTAAAGCCTGCGGACATGGAAGTAGGATCTGATTTAAATAATACAACTCTTCCAATAGAAGATAACATAAAAGAAGAAAAGGACCTAGATTTTGATATGGAGTAAGTGTGCTTATCTTTTCTTTTATTGTATTATAAAGAGGAAAGATTCGATTGTTTGTTTGTTTGCATCGAATAGACTCTGAAAACACTGGACCGACTTTAAAAATCTTTTCACCTACGGTAAATACATAATTCGCTGGTGACACAAGTTATAATTTAAGCGGCCGAAGTCGTAGAAAAACAGCTAGTAAATAATAATATTAGATAACAACACGACGCACTCATAATATGGAAATTTGAAACAACGCAACACTCAAACCATAGACAATATAGAAAAGCTTCTCTACATTTACCTGGCCGGGAATCAAACCCGGGAACTCGCGAGATGGCCTTGAAACCGGCGTGCAAGACATTAATGAAGGTCGTCTAATGATAAAATCGAATAAAATAAATTGAAACTCGTGTGCTTTTCAGGATAAAGACTGAAATAAAGATAGAGGAACATGACCCTTTAGCTCAATTAGGTATGGAACAGAGAAGTAGCATGTTTGTAGACTCCTTGAGTGATACAAACGTCAGTATTCTTCCGGAGTAGATATATAATGAGATGTGACGTCACGTGCGAAGAAACCAAAGCGTTAACAACGGCATGCTCTTACATCATATCTGAATAAAGTAGGTATTATAATAATAAATAATAATAAAGCTTTATTTAATTCCATGCATCATACATATTAAATAATTCCAATTGTATTATATAAATTGATAAAAATTAAGTATCATTTTGTAAATTAGTTTAGATATTAATAAATTTGATTAGATTGATTACAACTACCTAAGTTAATTTAATGCATGGACCTCGATCGGGTAAAAGCCTCCCCCAAGGAATGCCATTCTTCTCTGTCCTTAGCTCTCTCTATCCAGCTTCCGCGGGCACACGCTACAATTTCGTCTGCCCATCTGGCCTTTGGTCGACCTCTAAGTCATGGACTAATTTAATGCATGGACCTCGATCGGGTAAAAGCCTCCCCCAAGGAATGCCATTCTTCTCTGTTCTTAGCTCTCTCTATCCAACTTCCGCCCGCACACGCTACAATTTCGTCTGCCCATCTGGCCTTTGGTCGACCTCTAAGTCTGATGCCTTTTGGTCCAGGCCACTTTACTGCCCGTAGAGTCCATCTATCGTCCTTGTAGCGGGCTACGTGGCCCGCCCACTTCCATTTAGCCAACATTGCAAAAGTTAAGGCATTGCATACTTTTGTCTTCTTTCGAATGTCTACGTTCTTTACCTTATCCTTTAGTTTTATACCTAGGCAGCTTCTTTCCATTCTTCTCTGGGTAGACTGAATTTTGTTCCTGGTTTTAAGATCGAAAATCCAAGTTTGGCATCCATAGGTGAGGCACGATAGAAGTCCTGTATCCATGACTACTTTCTTGGTCTGTAGCGGAAGTTGTGATTTTAGTATTTCCTTATGGTGCCAAAACTTGTTCCAGGTAATCGCCACTCTTCGGTTAAGTTCTTCAGTACGTCTTTCCTTACTAAAGGAAATTTGTTTTCCTAAGTATATGTAGTGATTGACCCACTCTAGAGGTGTGTTATTTATAAAGATGGGCGTTGTCCTGCGGTTAGTCATAATTTTAGTTTTATCTAGATTCATTTCCAAACCAATTTTTGTACTAACCTGGTTTAATTCATTTATCATTTTATTTAATTGGTCAGGGGTTTCCGAGAGTAAAATTATGTCATCGGCAAATCAGAGACGACTTAAAAAAACTCCATTTATATTAATACCTTGTTTGGACCATGTCAGCTCTCTCATTACGTAAAGTAGATATTAAAACTGATCTAGCACTAGTGAAAAACTTTTTTTTAATTATCATCAAGCTATATCCCTACTGCTGGGGGCTCGATTATATGAATGGAATAATTTAGGGAGAATGTGCCTTGACCCACTACGCGGCCCCATTGCGGATTGGTGTGTATGAACAACTTCAAATGCAGCCTTTCAAAGCACTGTCAAACATAGAGATAATAACTTTTTGGTCATCCATCTTATGATCGGCCTGAACGAAAGTTGCTTAATAGCACCGCAGAACGAACGCGCTAAGAGGCTGTTCTAATATTACGTGACGCAACTTTGAAGATTTTTGACCCGTTTCTCTCCTCACGTAACGATTTTCTGACCTTCCCCCCCCCCCCTCCCATAAACTTTACGTAACACTCGAGTGATTAAAGTGTACGCAGGTTGGTCATCAAACCTATGTTTTCCAGCAGTGAAAAGTTGGTTGGCATTTATTGGCACAGTTGCGATGGCCTGAGTTTTTATAGGCCAGGAACAGCTGGTGATGCAAATCTCTCTCTTTTAAGTACGTTATGGTATGAAAGCACTTTTATAATACTATATATATAGCTTTGGAGACATTAATTCCCTACCTTGGTATTTAATAAAAAGAAATACCGATATTGCACAACGCGTTGCACGGACTCTCCCCCCTCCCCCCCTTCATCCTTGTAACGCATCGTAACGTTTCACAAGCTCCCCTTCCCCCAAATTGCGTTACGTAATCGGAAAGTCCTAATATTGGTTACGCCTTTCTAATAAGCCTTTATGCTAAATGACAAATGGTTAACGCAATTTTCATTTCTTTTTCAGACCGCACCATTCAGTATAGAAGACTGGAAGCATGGAATTATCTTCCAATTTTGTTATTTAATTTTAGCCCTTTTTATAATTAGTTATTAAAGTTTTTTTAAGTTAAAATTAAGGTTTAATTTTAAAGTGAAAGTCAAAAGATATCTACTACTCTACGAATTAACATGACACCTGACGGCCTGCCCCCCTTATTCTCCAACGCGATCGCGACCAATTGACATTGCAATGAAGGAAGTATTGAAAAAAAAACACAGCACTAAAAAGCACCTCACTAGATGGCGACTCTAGCAAAAGTTAATAATTGCAGGAAACGAATGGACCAAAGATAGTCATTTCCGTTCTTTTTTACTAACATTTAAAAAACTGAAATTTGCGAAGTTCAAAACTTAGATGTCAATACAAATACTAAAATAGAATATGAGTTGTTTATTGAGTTTTACTTTTTAATTACTTTACTTTTATACATGACAAAAAAAAACCGAAAGGGTTTTCACGTGGAAGTCATGAAAGTACCGTAGCAACATTTAGTTTGAATTCAGGAACTAATGTTTTTTTAAATATTTCTTCATAGTGCCGTTTCGTAATCTTGATTAGTTTACTAGTGAACCAATGAAGAGTGCGGAGCAGCACAAATGCAATCGGTCGATCGCGATTGCGTTAAAAAGGGCAACCCCCTATTTCTCCAAAAAACGAAATTTCATTCGAAATGCTAAGACTTCAAAAGAATTCGATAATGTATGATCCAACGGAGGTAGGTCCTGACACTGTCTCTGATGCACAGATAATCTTTACAAATATGATTTTAATAAAATTATAAGAACAATTTGCAATTTTTTTTTTATTCATATGCGTCAATATTGTTTGTGCATCAGAAGCAGTGTCAGGGTCCTACCTCCGTTTCATTATTAATTATCGAAAAGATGTGGTCCTTTAGAGTCGTAATATGACTCTTTCGGGTTTCGCAATATAGACGGGCCTTACGATTCCGAGGATGATCGAACATACACTCAAAAGTTATCTTAAATAAAATCGTGTTTCAATATACATAAGGTGTAAAATTCAAAGTATTAGGCGTCAGTGTCACTCACACTTAACGAGGGGTCTACACTTACTAAATGTTAATTAGTTCATTCGATAACCTTTCGTGTACCAAATCAAGATTACGAAACGTCAAAATTGCAAAGTCAATCGATCGCGATTGTGTTAAGAGTACAGGAGAGGAGCGTGGATACTAGCGGAATGGCCGATGGCCTTATACTTGAATCATTGTGATTGGTCGACATTAGGGATGACGTCTGGGTAAAAAAACGAAATTCTATTTAGTTAGATAATAGAAAAATATTAGATACGTATTGTTTTCAATTTAACAAACAAGAAATAGTTTATTCTTAATAGAAAATGCTTAACAATCCACTTTGCCCCTGGCACTCTTGAGATGGGTCTCGCACCCATGACCTTTTAGCAATACGGGCGACTGTTCTAACCACTCAGCTACCCATTTTTCAAGCGTCATGTGACATTTTAACTAGATGCTTCTGAGTAATTCAACGATTACACGAAAGTGTTCTATCAACATATATCTCAACATTCTATCTTAACGGAAAAAGATAAATTTAGTCATCATCTTTTGTCCGCTTCGAAATTTAGTCTTCTGCCCAGATACATAAGCAAGTTCCATCAGTTATAATGATAAATTTACGGCGTAGATGTAAAATAAAAACATTTTTATTTTGTATTTTTTATTGAAATTCGATTTATGGTAGTTTCATTTAAAATTACAATTAGTACGGACTGCGTTCAACTAGATTATCGCGCGTATCAAATCCAACCATTGTGTTGCACTAGTGTTCGTGATTTAGAAGAGTTCGTACGCATCTATTTTGAACGTAATTATCAACGAATTAGGGTTTCAAATAAATTTGAAAGACCTAACTATTTGGTTGCCAGCAATGAAACATTTCTTCTTAACCTTTCACATTCAACTTGAATTTTAAGAGCATGAATGCTTTGAATTGTTAAGAAAATTATAAGCTCTTATTGCGTACCAAAGACTAGAAATAGGATCGTGTGAATGGGCCTTAAAAAGTAATTAATTTATGGAAATATCCAAAACTTTTGTAATCGGAGCACTTCACATAGTTATCCTGCTTCTTATTAATACAGCGAAAAGGTTTATTTTAAAATAAAAACAAAAACCTGAATCATAACATTCTCTCGTAAACAAAGGTGCAACACAACGTCAAATATATTTCACCATACAATAAATTACAAATTAGTTTCCAATCGCACAGATAATTCGATTTTTAATAATTTCCCAATCATCAACCTCAATATTCACAAACCTTCCTCTTTAGAACATGATTTTATCCCTTTCTCTCCCGATACAAAAGAAAGTGATAACATATACACAAATTACACGAATGGAAAACTTACGAAGGAGGCAGTCCTTATCCATGGAAGTTTACTTAATATTACGTACCTTATTTATAATCAACAAAATATTGTATAATAAGTATAACAAAATAATAACATAACAACAGCAGAAACTTAATAAAGTTATGATCTGGCTTAAAATGGAGTTTAGCATTATTACAATAAAGTTTACTTTATAAAAACTTATTTCAAAACTTCTCCATGCTTATAAAAAAGTAAACACACGTGCTAGAGTTGCTTCGATAAAAAATTTGCTCAGCTCTCCAGCACATAGTAAATTAATCTTTATAAAAAGTGGATTAGGTACGAAAATCGTCTGGCATCAGTGAATTATAATGATTTTGATATATATTTACTTTGATTTGAGATAATTAGTGAAACGAAATGTTTCCCCTAATATATTAAACAAAAACATGACAATACAAGTAAACACTTAGTTCATACATGCATCGCGCACTTCAGCTTTAGTATGTACAAACTACACGATATCACAGAGCAAAATAATACTGAACTTACGTAGGTTTAATTTAATTCTAACGAGAGTCGAGATGGCTCAAAAATCACCTTTAAGCCTATGAACATTAAAGTACAATTTCCATTGAGTTTATAAATTAGGTATATTCAATGCATATAAATCAGTAAGCCATCTCAATCTCTTAATTGAAGTATAGATTAGAGCTGAATTGGCACTAATAGGACTTTAATAAACATTCATATTCCACAGAATTTGGAGACTTGGTCGAACCTGATTATTGCTAGTTTTAACGTAATTTAAATATCGACATTGTTTTTGTTAGTAAATCGCAATTTAACATCAATATTTTTCACTTTTTATTATAAAGATACCGTTGTACTAATAATATATAGATAATAAAAGTGACATTATACAATCAAGCCTTACACTCATATCTATAGTCGAGTAGTAATTATCCTATGGAATGCACTCCCCACAGACATCAGAATGTCCGCCAGTCGGTTTGCTTTTAAATCCAAGTTGCGCAATTTAATATTAGATCAGGCAGAATCATAAAAATTGCTATCTCATTTCTACTAGGCATAGTATTTATAAGTATGTATTGTATTTATTTTTATTATATTATATATGTATTATGTTATATATTATTATGTTATATATAGTATGTATGTTTGTGTTATGCTTATTTTATATTATTTTTTTTTCTCTCAAAGATTACATATGCACCTACTTTTATCCTTTATTTTAATCTCCACATCACCTAAAGGTTGACTGGCAGAGAATGCCTAAGGCATTAAGTCCGCCTTTGTACGATTGTGCATAAAGAATAAATAAATAAATAAATAAATAAAGAAAATATTATAACTTCAGCACTTATTTTGACCAAATAAACTCTCAAAAGTGAGAGTACTAATATTATTAGATTTTGGCAGTTCTTACTTCACCCAAATTGTTGGCTATTGGGAACACTTACATTAGATATGACATTTTTTCAAGTAATTACTTCTCTCGACTATAGATACGTAGGTTGGTATTTCTGAACATTTTTATAGCACGTAAATGAGATCTAAAAACGTAACAAGATCAACTAAATTCTAATTAACAACATTAATATATTTACTGAAATAACGGTAAATTAACCGTTTCAAATAGTTGATGGTTTTATTATTTTCAGATAATTGAATAACTCATATGATATTCATAAATATTGCCGTCTAACTACGCTTTGGCACTTTCATTTCATTAGGATTAATTTGCCAGGCGAGTGATGTAGGTATATTAATGTTATTAATAATACAACCACAAAATTAATCTTAATCCTCTTGGAACTCAATTAAAATGACTAGATTGGAAGCTTAATAAATATTTGAGATCTCAAGAATAAAGTGTCAATGAACAAGTATAGGTCATTCATAAGTGTCATGATTTTCTAAAGCTTAAAAGAAGTTAAAATAGTCTTTGCCTTAACAAAAACGCATATATTTTTTTTCTTTAATATGACAGTAAAATTAAAATATAAAACTTTAGACTTCATCATTTGTGATTGTACAATGTACATAACAAAATGGTTAGCTACATTTCATATAACATATCATTATTCTATAAGATTTATTAATAGATATTGCACGTAAAATTAATATATAATTATACAACATTTAGAACAAATCAGTTTGACTGTACTACTTCCGTGGTTAAACCAATAGAATTATCAATTTAGAAACATACTTTTGAAGTTAAATAAACTTTTTTTAAAAGATTTTATCGATTTAAACTTAAACTTAGAATTTTTGGTTATACCAGCTTTAAAGAAAAACTTTAAAGTTCACGATTTAATGTCAATATTTCATTATTTTTGTCTGTCAAGAGATGGCGCTTGTGTTGGCATTCGTGAATACTATGAGTGTAAACCTTAATGTAACGCACTAAAGTCTATAGTTCAAAAATGTCGATGCTCGTTTCCTATCAGCTTTAGAATATTCTACTGTGAGCAGACGAATTTTGGCGACGCTACTTATTATAAGTGACAGTACTGTACATCAATAGACCATATTTTTCTTCAGAAAAAACTAAATAAATTACTTAATTTATAAAAAAATAAAATAGTAAAAAGCGCCATCTATCGACAGACAGAAAAAATAAAACGATAATATTCCATTTTAATTATAAATTAATTCAACATTAATTTATTTATAAGTTATTTTTGGCACTAACTAAATGACGTTCCTATTCAGGCATCAGTTTTTTCCTTACAAGAACAGACTTGAGAAAATCTCGTAACAAATCCGCTTTCTCATACATCAAACTGTCTTCCATAACTATATAGTTCAATGAATAAAACGATTATTGTAAACTTCAGTAAATGAGATCATTCAATTATTAGATGCGCCAGAAGAATGTTTGTACTCCATATTTATATAACACATAAGTCGCTACATGTAGTCAGTTAAAAGTCACAAATAAAGAAAATTAAAGACGAATTTTATAAATATATACGATAATTGTCATTACAGATTTATAAAACTAGTAAATGCACGGTTGTTATGCGTGCGTAGATAGTTATTAGATAGTTAGTAAGTAAAATGAAAATTGATCTTTCAATATTTTCCATTTTGATACGTGTTCGTTTGCCCTTACATATAGTAGCTAAAGAGCTCCGCCCACTATATAATGTTACTGATATACATATTTTTGGATTAAAATTTTCTCCCTATAAGATATTGCAGCAATTGTTTACGTAATATAACATGAAACGTCTCTGTATAAAAAAAAAAAAACAGAAACGAACTCCTGCTGAAATTATTGCGGTATAATTTCTGTACATTATCCATAGACTTACAAACCGATAGCATAGTTTTCCGGCATCCACGAGTACTTGTTAACAGGATAGACGGAATAAATGATATTGATCTTAATTCCCGAGTAATATTTGAATGATCCCACACCGTTCCTATCAATTTGAACCCTATCTATAGCGTGCAACTGATCTATATCACTACATCCGCAAGCGACCTCTCCACTACTCACGATATCTACAACGAAGCCAAGCTCATTATATCCATAGATTATTATTAAAAAAAAAAAAACAAATCGCGCCCCACCCTAAGTGTAAAAGCTATTTCAAATTCGAAACTACCGCGAAAATTGTAAAATACTAACTGTTTAATTAATTGGCCCTTTTATTAACACTAACCTATAGTTTTGGCACAATAAGTTTATTTATGTGGCACGTAACACTATATACTCGCTCTGTGCGGTGGCAGATTGAACGTCAGAGTATCGTTTATGAAATACTCCTGGTCTTCCTCATCGGGCAGGTAGTATCCGTAGCTGCCGTCGTTGGATATTTGATCTGGGTTCTTCGGCAATTCACACGTGTACTCTTCCCATTTTTTCTCTAAAGATTTTCTTCTTTTCGCGAATATTATCGAACCGTCGAAAGCGTATTCGTCGTCGAAACGGAGCTCGGCGTCGTCATAAAAGTAATTGTCGACCTTCTTAGTGTTCCTAGCTATGTTCTTCATTAGTTTCTTTTTAGCGTAACTAGACTTTTCCGAGTCATAGTCGTCTACTAACGGGTCGTTACTCCTGTTCTCCGTTCTCAAGTTCATAGAGTATAATGATACAGAGGGTGGACTGCATCCTCTGTTGCTGATGCTGTGTCTGTAAAGATCGAGATACTGTTCGTTGTTGTTATAATTCATTTCGTTCATGGTCATTCCCCTTCTGAGCTGTTCTCGTCTTTTGGCGACCATCTCTCTGAAATCCTCGGGGTCTAGTTGGAAGTCGTTCGTTTTAGCGTTCATGTATAAGTAGCCTGAAGCAGAGTTTAAACGGAGAGATTGCGAGCAATTCTTCGAGGATGATTTCTCTATGTACCGCGGTAAGCTGCCCAGTTCGCGGTAGTTTTTGGATTTTATCTGTTTTATGTTTGTTGGTGGAACTGGCGATAATGGATCACGGTAAGGTATCGACCTGGAAGCAATAATGTTTTATATTTCTTTGTGTCTTTATATATTGTTTCTAGAATTGTAACATATATGATATTGTTGGAAATGGATAAAGACAAAACATATAATTGCTTTCGTTTGTCAACGTTTTATGGATATTTCTTAGTAGAAAGTAAACGGCTCATAGCCAGTTGCAGAATAATTTTAAAGCATTTTTAAAACAATGGTGAAATATTAATGGTGCCGCAGTGATAGTGTATATTTAATTAATTAGACAACCATTTTGAAAAATTAGAATATATATCATTAAACACTACCAAAACAATAAAATAAGCTCTTAATTATTTCTACAACTGATTGCCACAGTGATGGTTTAATAATAATGCAATTTCAGTTTTAATCAGTTACTATCTACTGTCTATTATGGTAATGAAAAGAATTGAATTTTATTTATATAAAAGCAGGATTTTACAAAGTAAGACTTAAAAATAAGACTCTGTGTATTATAAATAAGGTAGAAACTTGCCTGTTCGGAGCGAAGCAGTTACAAGAACAGCTGCATACACTAGGAGCGTATTCTTCATCAACATACAGCGGCACAAGAGATGCATCTGCTAGAAAAATATAGTTATTAAAAATCATAAACATTTAAAAAATATCATCATCATCATCATCATCCAGCCCTTTATTTCGTCCCCTGGATGTGGATGGATAAGGAGCATGGGCCATGACCCTCCACGTTGGCCCAATGCGGATTGGAGGGTATTAACGACTAAAAATGCAGCCGTGACCAACGGCTTAACGTGCCTTCCGAAGCACGGAGTAGCTCGAATAATATTTTTTTGGTCACCCATCCATCCGTGACCGATCCTTGCGAAAGTTGCTTAACGACAACGATCGCATGCCGCGGCGCATATCCACTACCACACCGAGCTAATTAAAAAGTATATGATTTGTATAAAAAAAAATATGATTATGACCATGAACGTGGAAGGAAATGTAAGGACCTTTCCTTCCTTTTCCCAAGACCGATCAAAAATAGGATAGACTGTAAAAGATGATATTGGTAATTGTCTACTTGACTATTTTGGGCATAGTATTTATATGACATTATATATAAAACAACTATCAGATTTATTTAACTCCAAAAGTGTTATTAAATAAAGGGAAATCATATTTTTATTTATCCATCTAAATTGTTCCGCGTAAACAATCATTCGCGTGACATATTGAGCAGTGACGTCACATTTCAATAAACCTTTTTTTGGTAAATTAAAGATCTAAGATAAATATGAGTAGGTACTGTATAATCGACTCGGCACTGCATTCTTTGATCTACGCGACATCATACGCGGGTGATAATTTGGGAGAAAGAAGCCATGAGAAACGATTACACCGATTTTCACTAACCTAAAACTCAGCATATCCTAATTAAGAACCACCAAATCTTATGAATCGTATTGTTTTTCGCATGTCCTAGAAAACGGACATAAGTGAAATATATATAGATGACCTCACTCAACGATTGTTTTCAACTTTAAATAATCAACGGCACAACTACAATTGATATAATTTAAGAAAACCCTGTTTAAAGCTTAGCTTTATGAAATATCCTTAGTGTAATATAAAATGAAATAAATATATCGACGCTGGAAAGCAAACACGTAGTAATCTGCAACACCAAAATGGATATTTAAAGTGGAAAATCTATATATTTATAAAAAAAAAAAAAAAAACATTTTTCCGTATAAATTGACTAAGGAACACCTTATTTGTTACCATGGACGTTTAAAGAACAATTTTGGTTTTGCAGATTACTACGTGTTTGCTATCTAGCGTCGATATAAATAGATATTACTTGTGCCCATGTGCCGCGGATCGGCGGGCAGCCGCGTGCCGCGCGACACGCCGCGCAACACCGCGCCGTCCGCGGTTATCACATCACCCTCTAGTCTCACCGCCACTTGCTGAGCCTGCAGCAATAAAATATTTAAATAATATCTCGCTTTAATTCTTCACGGCCTTCAACATATATAATCGTGGTAGAGAATCCGTTATTAACAATTATTCTAATAAAATAATTATATATGAAAGTATATTGGACGCTGTAAAGGTGCGTAGTACCACCGTTTATTTCGTCCTCGAAGAGAATCGAGTCCGGGCCCTCCTTGCTGGATACCGGACTCATCCATTCGCGTGAGGTGAACCGCAGCGGGTTTTACCAGACAGGGCTTCCACACTAACCTGCCCTCTTAAGGGCGGGCTGGTAGAGGAGCCCTGGTTTAAGGCTTAAGGTGGCTTATAAAAAAAAAATCGCATGCAAACTTCTTGTCTTTGATATTTAACATCAATTATTTTATTATTCACTTTTCGTAATTTGAAATTTTGAGTAATCCAATATGCTCTTTATGAAAGTGAGTTCGTGAAAACTCGTCAAATTTCAATCAATAGCAATTTATTGTAAAAGATGTTAAAATTTATCTATTATTACTTGTTTCCGTTATGCTCACGGAACAAACCCGAAGAAAGGGCTTTTTTGTGTTACTATTAATTAAATCAAGTTCTCGATCTTAGTCAACCTTTTATTCATTTGCCTAAAAGTCCGTCACAGCGCGACGCACAAATCTACTAAATATACCTTTTCCAAAAAACAATGTAACATTCTAATTCGTTTGTTAAAAAAACGTCTAATTAATATGTCAAAGCATTGGTTTGGACTGTACGAGCATATTAGAATGAAAAAAATGTAAAACACAATGTTTTGCCAGAATAATATTTAAATATAGTGATATAAATATATTTCTATATACTAACAAAAACATATTCTTGTAAAATGTTGCCAAGATGACACCATGTGGCTCGCACCGTCAAACAGTTTTCAGATTTTATGTAAAGCCACACTCACTCTACAACATTTATCTTTGCAACCTTAATAAAAATATTTGACTCGGCCGTTGTGCTGCCGTCACATAGCCATAATGTTACTATTGTACGGTTAATTATCTGTTATAAGTACAATAATAGCTTTTGTAATAATTATTTCACATCCCAAGATTTTGTTTATCTGGTACAATCCAAACGCAAATTATGAGGGTTCAAAAAAATTACTTAGTGCTTTGAGAACAAGTAGATAATCTGTTAATAATCTTTTAATTATTCATGAAAATTTGTAAGTATATAAGATATATAGCGTTTATATATGTATTCTGAAATGACATTAGAATCTGTAAATTCCCCTTCTCTCTCTTTAGTCTGTCTCAATCCTTCGGGGATAGTTTCTCCTTAATTTACGGCAAACGCCATGTTCTCGTACAATCCGCATCCATATTTAACAAACGGTCCTATTGTTGTCATTATGCTAATGAATTTAAATCCTTCTCAAAGGACGCTTTTGACCCAATGTACGTTAGTCAAGCAGCCGCTTAATCTTTAACGTGGTTTTATGGGTAACATATTCGGTTTGGCTGGGCGATATCTGTGATCTTGGTCTACTGGCTCAACCACTTAAATTACCCTCAAATTGTAAAATAGAATAGCAAAATAAATGAACTTACCTGTTCAGCCTGTTGCTGATCTCTCTTCTCGTCCTCTGTGTTCATGGTGACGAATCTTAACACTAGTAGATTGAGACACGCGGCAACTATAGCGAGGCCGAACAGGATGAAGATCAGAGCGAACATCACGTAGGATGGTTTGCGATTTAACGCGTTGTCCCGCTGTAACGCCACCATGTCACCGAAGCCTAAATAATTACATACATTCTCAATAAAAAATACTTAAAATATCGACCAGTCTCAGGTAAAATACTCTCATTAGTAGCAAAGACTGACGAGTGCTTGAAAAATACGACAATCTTATTAAGTCCTGGGTAGCTCAGTGGTTTGAGAAGTCGATCGGATTGCGGAAGGTCGTGGGTTCGGGTATCTCCTCCCATATTAGAGTAACTGGGGTTGGTGGATATTTTTAATCAAGACTATTATCCAATTTAGCAATGGATAATATTCTTAATTAAAAATGCTTAAATTTTATAACTTTCAAATGATCATGTTAAACCTATATCTGATTCATTTTCTTAGAAAAAGTGTTATTAAAAGAAAGGATAAATATATTTTTTTAATTAATTACTATTCTCCTGCAAAAACAGTCACGTGACATACCGAGTTGTGATGTTACATTTTATTAAGGGATCAAATTTGGCTTAGTTTTGAATACATGTACTCGGAAATGAAAAATTTCGTTTTGATATGATATGTAAAATCTTGAAGTCAATCAAGATTACATATTGCCTATTTCTAGATGTAACTACAATATTTCTATGACTTTTCAGTAATTCTCACTCACCTATAGTAGTCAAAGTGATGAAGCAATAATATACACTGTCAAAGTAATTCCATCCTTCAAACTTTGAGAAAGCAGCTGCACCCCCGGCTATAGTGAGGGAGGATAATGTTGTCACCACGCAAATGAGGTCCACTTCCGAGGCGTTTGTTTGTTGGCAATTCATAGCTTTTTTAATGGATTTAATGATGACACTAAAATGATAATTTTATAATAATTAATTAAAGAAAATCTTATTTAATTGTAGACCTTATTCATAAGGAAACTATGTAAATAGTAGAACATGTTATGTTACATATTATACTATCACCACTCTCACACACACACAGAGAGAGAGAGAGCGAGAGGGGGTGAGAGAGAAGGAGAGAGAGGAGAGAGAGAGGAGAGAGAGAGGAGACAGAGAGAGCGAGAAGGGGTGAGAGAGAAGGAGAGAGTGGGGTTGAGGTGCGGAGGAAGAGAAACATACACAAACCAAACACTCACTATCAGCCAAGAAAGACAAAACTCACCAACTCACACATAATTTTGTAATACAGCAGTTCTACAAGAACAACTAAGGGTATTGTTGTACTTAGCTTATACAGAACTTACCTGCTCAGTCTGTTAACTCGTTCACCAATGCTCTGGAACATGATAAGTCCGAGGGGAATTCCTACTATTGCGTAGAACATCGTGAACAGCTTCCCGCCAATAGTAGCTGGTGTTGAGTGACCATAACCTGTAAGTGTATTTGAACATTTAAGTTCTATTTCATGAGTTTTCCTCTGGAAAATCTGGTTGCACTGTTACATATCTTGAGAATTGTATCCTCTAGCTAATCAATCCAACTCAGCTCAGGCAGCTGTAGTTCTAATGTTTTTAATTGTTGTTTTATTTGTGTTGTTTATTAGATGTTGTTTTAGACTAACATATAAACTAGGATGCAAAAGTGGAAAGATGTAGAAACCTGAGGTAACAAGAATCTTCATACTTTCTCTCAAATTCATCATATAGAATAAGTTCAAAAGACAATGCATAAACTGAAAAGCATCTATAAGTAATGAACATAAAAGGTCCAACAGATGTTGCACTGTAGAGGCCATGCCTTGTGGCTCTTGGTGCTCTTTGTCAACTGTGCAAGAAAATTAGCATGAAGATATAGATAATGATATTTCATTGCCCTTTTTGCAACATACCAATAGTTGTCAGCACCGTAGTAGCATAGTAAAAAGCTCCTGTGAATTTCCATTGCTGGCCGGCCTTATGAGGCTCCGATTTGAGGACCACTGTCTCCATCACACGGAAGTCCTCTTCCGTGATGTTGTATTTTCTTATTATAATGCCTTCAATAGCTGTCATAAGCAAAAATGTAAAATAAAAATTTGGTTAAAAATGTAACATGATTACATCATCTAATTAAAGTGGATGAATAGTGTTGATTGTTAGTATTGTATTAAAGGGTTTAGCCGGATACGTATGACGAGTCGGCCCCCAAATGGGAATCGATATTGAAACTTATGGTTTAATATCGACTTGATGTTCAAACACGATTTATGTACTTTTCGCGACCGACTTCCGCTTTGACCTTGAGATAGAGAGCAAAATATCCGTATGCTTGACTATTACTGAATGTGATATATCTCTAAAGCTAATTAAGATAAAGAAGTGAAACTAACGCGAGGTGTTAGGTTACATTACAGAGTATATCACATATATTTTTTTATAATTTTTAGAATAAAAAAATACATTAAAAAAATAAAAAATAAAAAAGTCAGGTTTTTTTTTCTGAGTTCTCTGTGACTTACAATCACGAAATTAATATATGTTATGCTCCTTTGTGTGCTCTATTACCCATAAAAATTGCGTGAAAAAAAAGTTGGTGCAACACAACGAAAAAAAAATATATGTGATTTCTGTCTTATGGTATACCCCTGTATTATAAGGTTTTCACATTACATCATTGTTTTTTTTTCGAAATTTCACATCAGCTTGTTTTAAAACATAAGTAACTAGTCTTAAGAGATGGGATAATAGTTAAAAAAGAAATGAAAAAAAAAAACAGCCAATGTTCAATACTCATTATTATTACTTTTTCGTGTCTATCAAAATACAAGAAACAAAATATTAATCATCGTCACTATTGTAATTAATTACAATCGGAACACTTTGAGTCGCAAATAACTTAGTTAGGACCTCAGCAGGACGTACGATTTTGGACAAATATCATCGATATGATAGATAATAAATAATAGCTGCTACATGAGAACAGCATCCCACTGTACGTTTGCCATTGGGGCAATCACAGCAATAACGAAGAATACTATTGTAGTCATTACCTTCGGAAATATAGTGAATGTAAATTCGATAGACTTTTCTATTTATATGTCTTGATTTTACTTCTGCTTTGATGATATTAGGTGCTGATTTCACATATTGTACTGAGAGATTATTTTGATCGTCCATTATTTCGGCCAAGTTAAATGCTGCACATTTAGAAGTAGAAGCTTTTTTGTTAATATATGGGATAAGTCGACACTTCTTACAAAAAATATCATTAACTATTACGATTTTATTCAAACAGTCACTAAACACTTTAGCTTCTTCTTCATTCTTTATAATTTTTTTATAACCTCCTGGTTATCTTGGTTATCCTGGTCTCCTGGAATCTTACACAGGTACTTGTTACAATTTTTACACTTTCTCGACATTATTACTTAATAATGATTTGGTTCGATAGTTAATAATTTCAAAATGCTGATACAAAATACCTATGACAGAATTTGAGTCCCAAACTGCCTTCTTGTGTAATACAAATGACTGCTACTTTAGCTAAACAAACGATGCAGTAAACAGCTCGATAACAAGTTCGAACTTGTTTGTTTATACACTCACACTACAAGGCGCGAATCACATATAATTTTTTTCCGTTGTGTTGCACCAACTTTTTTTTCACGCAATTTTTATGGGTGATAGAGCATACAAAGGAGCATAACATATATTAATTTCGTGATTGTAAGTCACAGAGAAGTCAGAAAAAAAAACATGATATTTTTTATTTTTATTTTTTTAATGTAATTTTTTATTCTAAAAATTATAAAAAAATATATGTGATATACTCTGTAATGTAACCTAACACCTCGCGTTAGTTTCACTTCTTTATCTTAATTAGCTTCAGAGATATATCACATTCAGTAATAGTCAAGCATACGGATATTTTGCTCTCTATCTCAAGGTCAAAGCGGAAGTCGGTCGCGAAAAGTACATAAATCGTGTTTGAACATCAAGTCTATATTAAAACATAAGTTTCAATATCGATTCCCATTTGGGGGCCGACTCGTCATACGTATCCGGCTAAACCCTTTCAATTTGCAATACAAAAAGAAAACATATTTTAACAATTTTTATGCAAATAACATACCTTGCAAAACTTCAAATCTGTGTCTTTCAGTGGTAGATTCTAATGCATCAAAAACCGCAGCACCCACTAGCAAGTATGTAAATGTGCACACAATTAAAGATAAAGTGCGTACATTTTGCTTCTTCATCACTGCCGAGTCTCAGCCCGGCTTGTAGGCGATAGGCCCAATACAATCTCACAGTTTGTGAGCACAGAAATTTGTTAATTACTAAGTGACCATTTCAACTGTTTTTATTTAGAATTTGTTAACATTCAAATTGAGAATTCATTTTTTTTTTATTTGCATTAGCAGACATATAGTGTTTATGGTAAGTAGCTACTAAAGATGATATGCCTTCTTTTATTTTTTAAATTTAGAAGCCTTTCAATCTGGTATACAGAAATCCATTGTAAAATTACATCTGGCAGTGTGTCTACTCCATTTTTATGTGTCTATGGGAAAAGATTTAAAAGTATTTTTCAAAATGAAATTCTATCTATAAATTGATCCCTTTTGAGGAAGTCATAATTTATACATTGCTATGCTGAATCAAATTGTTTTAAATAGTCTCTTTTCATAACTGAGAGTAGAATGCAACTTCAGACATATTTTGTTTTAATGAATTATCAGTAATGTTCTTCTATCTGCAATAAAAAATACACATGAAAAAGTATGTTAAGATATTTTAAGTCGATAGTTAAATTTATCGGCCTTATAATGTGCAATATTGGAATCTCTAAATTCAAACAAAGAACTTACCAAATCTACTGAAAAAAATAACGCAGCTTTTTTGTTTATAGTTGGATCGGCAATCCGGCGTCACGTACGGCATTTATAAATATTTAATTATCTGCAAAGCTGTATCCTAAAAATAACATCGCGCTTTAATCCGCATTCATATCCATAGGTCATCGCACAGGGAACGATAACTGGGTCAAATGTTCTGACGATTTTCCTGACCAAAATATAGAAGTAAAATGATCATATTACCTTATAAATGACACCACAGGTCTTAATTGGGAAATCATGGACAGAAATAACTCAAATATGATATTTTTTCAGCTAAATTTTCTATTTCTTGTCACTCCACAAAATATTTTCTGTCCATATCACACCCACTCTTATAACTACCATAACTGAAAACGAATTTCTCTCACTATCATCTTGATGAAGCAACAATAATATCTCTATTTATTTGCATTTGTTAAAAATACATAACAAAAAAATATTTTTAGGGAACAGATTTTCTGCACTTCCTTGACCTGATTTGTGTGACCATTTATGAAAATTATCTGCCTTTGCTTTACTAAAAAGTGAAATGATGAATTCACAAGAAGTAAATAATTTAAATATTGTATCTGATGCTAGTCTTTTACAATAATATGTATAAACAATATATTAATAACTCATTAATAATATTTTAAGATTGTTCGTCATGTATTTATTCAATATGGCAAGACCAAAAAGTATAATGCTCGAGCATGCTGTGTGATCAAAATGTCAACACTATACAAGTGCCTAGTCACGTTAAGAGGTGGCGCTTTATATGATTTTAACCTGCAGAAAGGGCAGAGTGGATAATAAAATTAATAATATAATTATCTATCTATCAATATGTATATAAATATGGTAGGTTATAAAAAATGACCCTCTACTCTACTAGAAATGTTTTTTCATTTGGCGAAAAAAAACCATGGTTCGACATTATTTGAAATAGTATTTGTAAAAGTTTAATTTAATTCAAATAAGCCACAAACTGTTTTTCACTTACTCTCTTCGGAAAAACGCATCTTGTCTAGTAAGAACCAGTTTTAACTGATATACATCTTTTAGGATTCGTTAATTCTAGTTTTAACAAAGGCATTTAGTGACAACTAATTCTAACTAGGGAAAACGCTTTCTATATAAAGGCTAGTTGTAACTGTAACATATACAAAACAAACGCATAAGTATATTTAGGTATTATTTTAGATCAAAATTGCTTTAAAAAGATATCAATCAGACAAGAACAGTCTAGTCTATCTAACGATCAGCTATAAAACAAACGGGTAGCTGTTTACGACGATTGTTACAGACGCAAAAATATTTTTGCCAATATGACGTCACACCATGGCGGGTCATAATTACCTACCCGATAAACATATTAAAGAATCAACTTTTAATTTTGATAGATAAGTCTTGTGAAATTATTACCTAAAATCAGAATATCTAATAACGTAAACTATTTAAAGATAAATTTATGTCGAAATTTATAATACATTCTCACCACCGAAAATGATTTTAGAATGGATTTATTTTTATTGCGAAGGGCATCACAGTTGCTACTTTGAGTGAGAAGGTACAATTCGCACCAGAGCAACTGGGCCGTAAAGGGAAAGCGACGCAGGGCTGCTTTCTCGAGCTGAAGGAGATGTGAGAAGTGTGACTTAGATGTTTCTAATGGTAGGAAATGGTATTTATAACTTTTTAAGTTTGCCCATTACGACGAATCATAAGATGACTTTTGAGTTAAGAAGAGCGAGCAAAACTCATTACAAAAATCATATCATTAACTAGTGGCCGCCAGCGACTTCGCCCGCGATTTCCATTATTTCTTCGCTCCTAATAGTTGCAGCGTGATGTTATATAGCCTTAAGCCTTCCTCGATAAATGGTCTATTCAACACAAAAAGACTTTTTCAATTTAACAAACTCTTCAGCTTTATAATATTAGTATAGATTAGTATAGATAAATCATCAAACAAACGATGTACCATACAATAGATTTAAAGCTAAATTATTATTATTGGAAGACCGAAATCTTTACTTGTTTTTTTACTAGGATTTTATTTGTTTTAGTTTAGATTTTACTAGTTTCAGTACTTGGATTTCAATAAAATATATAATACACCCGAAAATCAATTAAATAATAAATATTAGTTCAAAAATTAGAAAGATTGAAACAACAACAGTTTGTTTTGTTATGATCAGTGACGTGAGACTGATCAAGAAATTTATTTTATAGCAAATAGCTATATTATAATATAGCTATTTGCTATAAAATAAATTTCTTGATTCAAAACTTTATAGCGCGTGATTTAGTTCACTTTATTATTTTTATCTATTAGATTTTTTCTTGTTTTTATCCGACTTAAAAATTGAAAACAAGGAGGTTACCTATATGTTCCACGGCGATGTATGTTTTTTTATTATGTACCTATGTTCACCGATTTTTCTGTTGACCGAGGTAGTCCCATTTAAATTTAATCGAAATCGAATAGGTAGTTTCAACAGATATATATTAAGATATTTCCAAATTTAACTTGTTTAAATCTAACATGATTGCTGCTATAACAGATAAGTAATTGTTATCATAATGATAGAATAACTAAGCATAAACTTATTAAACATCTCTCACGTATTTCCTCCTGTGTAACTGTACATGCCGTGGCAGCTTGTAATTGAGGCAACACTTATTTGCATGCTTTTTTATTATTGTAAAAATGCTACTATCAGTGTATTGTCTTGTAAGCTGTCCTTAAATAAATAAATAAATATTACCCGTATATGACATGGCCCATTTCAGCTAAAAAACAAAAGATTGTGTTTTTAGATTTCATTCAAAATCTGAAAGAAAGATTTTTCTATGTTCAACGAGTATGTATACTTTACTCTTTGACGTATATTTTTTATGAAAGTCATAGATAGGTATCAATGAGTAAAGTATATGTAGGGGTAGCTTCGATGAATAATACAACCAAATAGGAGTAGGTATGTTCATAGATTTCTTTTTGAATCGTGTACCAATTCTATCTACTTTGATAGAGTTTTACTACTTTTATATATATATATATTTATAGAAAATCGAAGCGACTTCATACTTTAAAAAAGTGATAAATAATACTAATCTCAAAAGTGACTTATTCAAGAAAATGCTATTGAAGTCGTATAAATATAATTTTAGAAGTATATTTATAATTTTACTTTTTAAGAAAATGTAAAGATTGTAACTGTTGTTTTCCAAAGTAAGTAAAGAAAAGAAAGACTTTTCTGGCAAATTCAACTCTTACCACGAAACTGGGGTTGTCGCAAAATTATGATGCAAAACAGTCTCCTGTTTTACTACTGTTAGGGTTGCCATTTATATTTACGGAGAATATTTTACAGATTTTTTTAGGTAATTGATAAGCTGCTGCATACTGCTCATACTTATACTAAAGTTTTAAATATAAATACACCATCACCGACATAGAACGGGCCATAATCCACCATATGTAGTCATAATCTTCAGAGATTTGTGGTCGATAATAAACCTGAAAATTAGATTATAAGGTCCTATAGATTTGGAATTATATATAGAACATCAGAACTAGTATATACTTAGACATAAAAATATATATGTACTTGTTTCTTATAGTTTCACGAGTTTACGAACGATCTACATATTTAAATAAAACCGTTTATAGGTAAGTAGTTTCTGTTTTGGTTTCTGGAAAATAGAAAATGGCGGCAAGATGACAAGTATAATCCTAGTAGTTAGAAGGATGACAAATATAATCCTAGTAGTTTTAATTGAGGCATTTCCGTATGTTAACAAAATATGATATACCGTGTATTACTAGTATTACTAGTAATACATTGCATTACCGAGTATTACTATTTTAATTGGTAGATAAATTTGTTGTTATATTACCTGCGAGTATACTATAATCTCTCATATCCCCAATGTGGGTGCTATCTACCAATCAAAATCAAAATGATTGAGTATCAGTTATGTAAAACGATACTGTTAAATTTAGTACTGTTGCCAACCCTACCTCTAGTAGGAGGGAGGGAGAGAGTATGATAAGGTGGGAGGGGTATGCACTAGACCTTTCTCCCAAGTTCTGGGTCACGTTTATGTAAGACAGCTTACGTCGATCAACGACGTAGTTTTTTAGCTTATTTGATAAGGCCAAGGTTGTAATTCGAGGCTAAATGCGTTTAGCGGTATTATGAGTGAAGTTTTAAAATTTTCCTGACGTATATTTTCGTTACGACTGCGAAGGTTAAGAGCCATATGACAAATTTTCAATCTGTGATTTGAGTTCTCGAGAACTTATTCAAGGTCACGAGTCCACAATACTGTGTTGAAACCACGTTCAAGCTATTTTGATACTTTTCCCAATTTTTGTATTATTTTAGTATTTCTATGGTGAGATTCATTATCGATTCCCGAATATTTTAAACGACTGCTCTCGAAAAGGAGTCTATTGTTTTTAGAATTAATGTATGTATGTGAGTATTTTTATTGCACCATAACTTTTGAAAGATATAACGGATATGAATGTACAGGGTATCATTAGAAACATCATCCTAAGTAACCACAAAATACATAGAGAATCAGTGAAACTAGCTTAATTATTAATATTAAATAGGTATGGGGACGTGTGACGCCATTTAAAAAAGTATGTTTTTTTATAATCATAACTTTATGGGTATCAAATTAAAGGTCCATTAAAAATATATATTAAGTGCTCACTAAAATGAATAAAATATAAAAATTATTTAAAAATTAAAAACACGACTACTAAGATCGGACAAAAATTAAAAGAAACAAGTTTAGCCAAATCATAGGTTATAAATATAAATAGCGATGACAATATAACAATAAAATTATAAATATTAATTAAAAAATATGCGTGCCATATTTTTCGTCGACGATTTCGAAATATTTTCGTCATCCATAGGAAACATGGACTGTTTCCTGTTTGGAAAAGTAGTAAATTAGAATTATATTAAACTAGTTGTGCCCGCGGCTTTATGCGAATGGAAAGTAACCTAAGGTTCTTTTCTCATGGCTAGATGCGATGTTATTCGATATGAATGAACGATATCACACGAATCGCATGCACTTATAAAATGTATGGAAAAACTCAAGTGTTTGCTCATGAGATTGTACTATCTGTCAATATCGGTCACAAATCTCATGGTCTGCGGTATCACTTCAAATGTATGAAGGCGGTAGAACGCTCGATCTGCTTTTGATTTTCTGTTCAATAATATCGAGGAACGATTCATTTGCTCATACTTACCATATCATAAAAATATATTGAATTTTACAAAAAAATACGGCAATATCCGTATATAAACAAATGAAAAGCTCGATGGTGCCGGATAGCTCGTTTGATTTGCGATTGAGGAGGTTAAGGTAGGCCATTGTGATAGGTAGCAGGTTTAATATTAATTCTATTTCTGCATTATCTTTACCACCCCTGCTTTTGGATGGGACTCAGATCGAGTTAAC